ACAGTGCAATGGGAAGCGCCGGTTAAAATTCCATCGAAATAACGGATAATAAAAGTACACAATATTTTATTGAGATGACATGAAAAGGAAAAAAAGATGTAATAAATGACCCCCTCCCAAAACACGTCCATCTATCGCCATACCTACAAAGGACATATAGAGAGCCACCGGTGAAACATCGCAAGAGATTCTTTAGGTTTGTACTCTGCTGCTGTATGACCTGCACCCTACAAAACAAAATCAACTTTAATTTGTAGTTTTTCTAATTCTTTGGGAGAAAGAGCATAGAAAAACTTTTCTTGCCTTCACTGTAGCAAATGTTAGAAAGAATTCATTCTTCTTGTACTTCTCTGTGTATCTACAAAGTACAAAGTTTATTGCAATTTTGAGAATAATACCAAGCAATATATACGCATGTGTGTGTGTGAGAGAGAGAGAGTTCAAGAAATGAAAACCAACCCTGCGACTTGGCCATCAACTTGCCAAGGTCTCCAATCTTCAAAAACAGTCATATTGAGACTACGAATCCATTTTAAAGGACCCATATAAGGTGCAACCATGTCATGATCTCCACTAGAAAGAAAAGAAGCATAGTTAGAAAAAATATATAAATTTCAATAAATGAATAGTTATGTGTTAGGAAAAATATATAAAAATTTATATAAATGTACAGTTACTTTTTTTGTTTAATGATCTACAATGAAATGTAAACCAACAAATACATTTTAGTTGATGGATAAGACTAAACTTAGAACATATTAAGTCACAGTTCCAGTGTTAGAAAGAAACTAATATTACTTATATATTAAAACTTCGAATGCTTTGTTGCTGAAAAGTTTATAATATTGAAGAACACTTTCTACATCTTCTTCATAATATAAGCTGTGGTTGCATCTCGTCCAGTCTGTTACCGTTCCCTGGAGATCAAAATAAAAGATTACCCTAGAGATTTTGATAAAATATACAACTTTTCAATCTTTTGCCATTTAACATACCTTTCTAGTATGAAGAGCAACTTGGACAGTCGGATCATTTGCCCAAACATAAGATGTTAGATAATTTTGAGGCTGTACAAAAGAAATTTGTTCTTGAGAAATTGAGCGTGCTTGGTAAGATAAAAAAAATTGCTAGAAACACGTAGTTTTAAAAAGTAAATTGTAACACTTACTTTATATATATATATATATATATATATATATATATATATATATATATTAATGTTAAAGGATAAGAAAAATAAAATAAGATTCAAAATATTACCTCTTGGATCGATTGAAGGGCATTAAGACATCGCAAATTATTTGGATCAGGATTGTAATATTTTCCATCACAACTAACTTTTGCTGACTGAAATTTTACCAATTAATTCCATGAGATGCAAAACGCTTCATTTTATCATCAAAATGGTTGGAAAAAAAAAATGAATACCTCAAAATATTCATCTGATATAAGTGCCATGCGGTGAGCATATGGAATTCGTTCATTAAAATCAATGTTTGGATCTGTTAGTCCACTGCCGATGATGTATCCCTGTTCCCATTTTGAAGGTACTCAACCGTTAGCATGAAATATTGAGTATTGGCAAATAAAATAAGGAGAAATTCGTATATTTGTGAGAGATAATTAATACTTGGAAGGACATTTGTGGCTCAAGTCCTGCTTTATTTCCTACATTACAATCAAGATTAACAAATTAATCAATCTTAGTTGGTGGACCAAAAAAATCAAATAAAATTTTGTAAGCTTCATTTTTTTTCCTTTTCAATATATATTACCTAGTAATATTTCCATCGCAATCATGGGAACAAGTTTCCCTCCATAAGATTCACCCCCAACATATAGACGATTTTTGATAAACCTTGGGTGTTTCAATAACCACTGCACTATTCTCAATATATTGTTAGTTCACTAACATTGAAAAAAGTTGAGTGAGTGGACAAAGATTGAAATGTGTAAGAACTACTAGTAAGTCTTGCATCAAACTTCATTTATATTTCTTCAATTAGTAATGCCAACCTACCTTCCTAAGAAATGTGTAATTATCTTTTGAAGATTTGGAGTCCGAGGAAGAATAACCTTGTGCAGTGTTGGCATACGAAAATCCGCTACCAACAGGCCAATCTATGAATATAATATTGGCAACCTGAAATTCATGTGACTACATTACAATGGTAGCGAGCTATTAAACACATACATACATGAATTTAAAGATACATGGATTGAAAGATGTTTCTAACCTTGGTCCATGAATATGGATTTCGTAGAATAGATGGTAAGCTTCCATCAAAATCTGCAATATCAAAAGCTAAGGGACCTGCACAAGAAAACACTAGTTGGTGCGAGTATAATAAAAGTTACATTTATCAATTATAAATAAAAATATTTTTCTTTCTTCCTCTGTAAATATTGCTGATTATATATACCAATTTCTAGCAGAGAAACCGTTTATTTCCAGACCAATGTGTAAAAAATTGGACAGCTTAATTGACTGAAATAGTAATTTCAGTCTTTCGGATATATAAACATCGAAATTTAAGTTAAAAATATTCTTAAGAAGAATACACAATTAATGGAAGTGTGTATGCATAGCGGGAATTTTCTCTTTTCTACATATAAGAATCTTTGTGGATCATTATATAACTACACATGTTGATATAAAATTTCATTTTGAGACATGGTGGATAAAGGTTTGATTACACTAGTTAAGATTTCTTGTAATTTCAATCCTTGTAAACTTGGTACCAAAGTTCTTCCCCTAAATAAGTTTAGAAATTGCTTGAAAATTCTAAAATGTTACTCGAAAGGTGTAATGTTTAGAATAACAATCAATGTAGTCTTATCTTTTACAGTTTAAACTAAATCTATTTTTTTATTTTTCTTTGTTACAGGTTCTAGTAAGTTATACATTGTTTTTGAAGTTCCAGACACTAGAGTTAAAGCCAACATTAGTCCAGCAAGATGAAGATTTTGAACATTGATAGTCTCCCTAATTGTTGACTCTTTGACGTGTTGACCATTGTTGATACAAATGCATTTGTAACATACGATTTCTGGTATCTTTTGGTTTAAATGAAGGTTTTAATTTGGCCTTACACCTGGCGTATTTATGGGCATTGGATCTGTATTTTTTGAAACCCATATAAATAGAGCCTTAAACCATATAAATAGAAATTTGTGGTTTCTCCGAAGGATTAATTGTTTACTTGATTTTAATGATTTGGAGCATAATTTATTTTGTAGATGCTCAACGGGTGAGTAACATTTTAGAGTGTGGGAATATCCTGACTTTTTAGTGGATGAAAAATTCTTGTGTTTGATTTTTATAATTTTATGCGAAGGTTTATTTTTGATATTTTTGTTAAACAGTCAATTGAGGACCAACAAGGCATAATCACCAAAAGAAAGATCTAACATTCGCCATCAGCCTAAACTTATTAGGATTGTTCCCTATACAATGTTGTGTCCACTGCAATGGAGACCCCTACCGAAACTCATGAATGAAGCTGCATTAATATTCTTAGATCTTTTTGGAGTCCTAGGATATTAGATCGCACAAGATCTTGTGTGTGTTGTACACTAACTAGGACCACACAACGAAATACTATGAATACACACTCTTTATTATTCAAGTACATTTTACTCTATAAAATTTTCGAGCAACATCAATATTTCGTGATTATTTTGGTCTATCGCTTTTGAACATGTACACTTAAAGAACAAGTTATTAAACTAAGTCTAGAAAAAAATTGAACACTTGTAGTATACACATCTTTTTAGATTATAGAAAAGGGAGTAGAACGTCCTACAAAATTTGTGGACAATAAGTAGATAATAGTTGTGAATGTGATGTTGAAATTAATATTTGATTTTGATTACATATTATAACAAGATTATAATTTTTTTACAGACAAACACAAATATATATATATATATATATAGAGAGAGAGAGAGAGAGAGAGAGAGAGAGAGAGAGGGAGAGAGAGAGAGCACCTATTTCATAAACAAGGCTGGATAACCCAGAGCAACCGGGTCCACCAGTAATCCAAAACAAAAGAGGATCCACATTAGGATTGTCTTCGGATTCAACGAAATAGTAGAATAGTTGCCTTTCATCATTTTCTCCCACAGCTATATATCTAATCAATGATTCAAACAGAAATATTTATAAATAATATAGATTCTTGAATTTAACTTATATTTGATAATTAGATTGGACACAACACTACTAAGCATGGAAAAAATAAAAATCATTTTCAATTGTATTGTTTGCAGAAATAAAGAATGGAAAACTGACCCGGTTTCTAGTTTGATGGGCAGAGTACCCGAATAACCCGGAAGGGCGCCGATAATGGACTGTGATGTTCCATTGTTGAACAGTAGCAGAAGGAGAAATGCATGCAATTGTATCCAATTCATAATAATCTCCCCAAAATTAAACTTCCGAAAAATGTATTTTAATCTGCTTTCAAGATTAATTTGTAAGGACTGGGATTTGGGATTTGAAATTTGAAATTGATGGCAGAGCAGGTGGAAAAATGTGCAGACATTGGATTCGACAAATTTGTATCTAAAGGGACAGAAACAGACCTCCACGTTTCAATCGTAATTACTTTCAAGACATGTAGAATAACTTGTATTCAGATTAAGCAATTGTTAGAATCACATTATTTTCATAAGAATGCATATTCTGTTGATGAAGGTTAAGAAATAAGCAAAAAAAATTGAATTTGTGTGTAATATTATTTTGAACTTTACTATTTGTACACTGATTTTTGTCAAATTACTATTTAAAAATGTATTTTTTTTAAATAATGTAGGTCAAACAAGTCTAAATAAGAATTTTAGTACTTTCCAACATTGTATTTAATTTTGTATTTTCCGCTTCCATAAGTATCATTATCAATCAATATGAGGACTTATTTTGTACCCATAGTAGGCTGAAGATATCTTGTCCATCGGTGAGGCGATAAGATATGATTTCTCCCGTGCTGATGGGGTTTAAAATATTGATGTCTTGACATCTTAAGGTGGGCAAGATATCTCCTACCCCATCAGTCATTACATCAATAATAGTTATCATGCTATATGAATATAAAATTTGACACAATGTCACCTGCAGTTTTATCATTGAACAATTTTAAACATTGTCAATTTTTTCCCTTCAATCACTTACTTCCACATGTAATTGTGTCATGTTTTCTATCAAAATCTTATGTCAAAGTAGCTTTGTCCATATATCATTTAGATACTATCATTATATCAATTAGATAATCAATTTACCTATTATAAACTAAACATATAGCTGTATTTTAATATTAAAGTAACATTGATAAAACATAGTAAATGATAAAATTTTTAGGTCAAAAATCAAATTCAAATCCTTTTTTAAAAATTGAATTCAAAACACTTTTAAGCTCTAAGAAATCCCAAACGATTCTATTCTGTCTGGATTCTTTTTTAGGAATTGCATTTAAAACACTTTTAAAAAATTGCACTCTCACCCAATTTTAAAACTATAAACAGGCCCTACAATTTAACAACTTGTAGAATAGGCCCTTTTGAAATTGCAACTTGATCCCTACAATTTCACAAATTGCAAGGCAAGCCCCACTACCAAACTCAATTCGAAAACCCTTAACCTTTCATCTCGACAGGTTCGACAGTTGCTGCTAAAATAGCGATAGTGTCTAGCACCGTTGGAAGAAGCAGCGCACTCATGATTGCAAATAAAGGCGCGTGACAAGTGTCGCTAATTTGTACGCGATAGCCATACTATTGTTTCGAGGCAACTGTGCACCACAATCACCTCTACCAATCGACGATGTCTATTCCCATCAACAACACCGTCAACTACCTCTACAATTTCTTTTTTCGATAAAAATAAATAAATTTATTTTCAAATCAAATGTAGAACATGAAAAATCAATTTTCTTAAAAGGTAGGAATAAAAAATTTACAACAATAAACCATCGATTGTGTTTTAAAATTTAAAAACAAAATTCTGAAAAATACAAAGTCTTCTTTGATACCTCTGTTTGGAACTTACTTATATATGCCCAGCAAATTTAAAACACTTTTCAATTTTCTTCAAGGAACATCTTTATGTTTAGATAGAAATTATAATTAGAGTTATACCTTTATAAATTATTCAAACTCCTTTGAGAATCTTGATCACTAACAATAACGATTTTTTGCTTCTCCTTTCGAATCTTAATCTACCATGATCTTTTCAGACCATAACTGTCCAATTGTCCTACTGTCAATGATAATTCTCACGAAAGAACAGGAATGAAAGACTATGATTTCTTTTTCTTGTTTTAGTAAGATTATGATATTGTGATGTAAGTTTTTGTTGTAATTGTAATCGTAATTAAAATCTTAAACCTTAATTTTTTATTTATAGATATTTAAGTGGGCTCTTGACCCACCCAATAAACATGAGTCAGTCTCTAGTTAATTAATCTAAATAATTACTCTTATGTCCATAAAATTAACTAATTTACTTAAGTTCAAAGTTATCACATTTGTCTTAATTAATTATTAATACCATTGTTTTCATTCTCCTTTTTATGTATAATCCATTAAGTTCCCAATTACGAGGTTAGACTATGAGAATTATTATTTTGATATGATAAAAAATAAGACAAACAAAACTCGTCTTTTAATTCATCATTAAACCACCTTGATTAATTAATTTACATTTGTATTTCCGGTTAGCATCTAGCAATTGTCAGGATAATACGTGCCATGAAAAATGTCATATAGTATCACAAAACGAAACCTCTGTTGTTTACCTTGAAATTAAAATCATATTGTAATTATAATATGATCGATTACAAAATATGAAGAAGCGTCAATCTCGATTAATGGATCATATCTTCCGTCCCTCTCTTGAGTCAATAATCGTCAAAATTTTTTTGAACTTACACACTAACTTGGTTAGGGATTTAGATAATCAATCAATCCCTCCTACAAATGGCCCGTTCCCCTTGTACAGTTTCACATCCCTCGTCCACATCAAACCATTACTTACTAGACTCATCTACTTGACTATATGTCTCCAATCCTTTCACCTGATTCACTTGAGACTTAAGGTATGGTCGAGCTCCTCTCTAGATTCCTCTTATATACCCATTCTAAACTGAATATTTTGCTTTTCTTTCTGCTATGTCTCACTTTACTAATCATACTCGATTTTCTCAAGTTGTTAAGCATTTACATTAGCGTGATACTATGCTTGCTGGACTCCAAGCTATTGAGGCTAAACATAATGGGAGGCTCACCTCTTTTTCTCCTACAAAGAAACACAGTTTGTAAATGGATTTTTAAAACTACACTTAATATCGATGATTCTATTGAGCTGTATATGGCTCAATAAATGGCCAATGACTATATACAAGTTGAAGAGCTTGACTACCATCACATTTGTGTCCCTACTACTAAACTTGTCTTCGTGCGATGTGTTCTTGTTGTATCAATTGCCCTCATTAGTATATTCACAATTTGGATGTGATTAAAGCCTTCTTACATAGTAATTTGAATGAGAAGGTTCATATTACTCTACTTTATGGTTGTTGTTGCAAGAGAGAGAATCGTGTTTGTCGTTTGAACAATTCACTTTATGGACTTAAGCAAACTTCATAGATTTGGTATTCTAAGCTCTCCAGTCCTCATTGAAGCTAATTATGCTCAATCATTGGCTGATCACTCCATGTTTACCCGTAACTCTACTTCCTATTTTATAGTTCTTATTTATGTTGAAGACATCTTTCAATCTTTATTCGATCTAAAAAATTTCCCAACTAATCATTTTAAGAGTAAGAATCTTACTACCTGAAAGCTTTTCTTGGGCAATAAGTGTTGGAAAAATTGGTGATTTGTGTGTATATAAAATATTATTTAACACAACACAACATATAAGTAATATTATTCAATAAGAATACAAACATAAGAGGATAGTTAGAAATGACAATTAGACAACACAAATATAACTCAATAACAATATAATATAAATTGAGAATAGAAATCAAGCCTTGTAAGTCACGTCGATGACGCTGTTCTAAAGTCGTGTTGCCTCCCCTTCGTGTGGGTTCTTTCGGCACTACACGACTCCAAGATAAAATCCGTATGACTCTCCTTCTATGAGCACGACCATAGGGAGATAAAGAACAAGTCTCACATAAAATTGCCAAAAATTATAGAAATATAGTATAAAATAATTAGAGAGTAGTATAGTGTAGTATGAAAACACTAAAGAATATCTTTTGTGTTTGATTTTTTGTGTATCAAGGAATGTGAAATCCACCCCTTTTTATAGTAGAAAATTCAACCCCCCATATTTATATCATTAAAACACAAGTTATAATATGTATTATGGTATTTTAATTTTATGTTAAAACTTAAAATTAAAAAGGTTTTAATTTGAAAGGTTGAAACTTTTATTCTTAAGTTACAATCTAAATTATGAGATTTAATTTTGAATTAAAAGTTAATATTGAAATCAGAAAAGAAAATTAATATTTATTGTGAAAGTTTAAAACTTTAAAATATGTTCTAACAATCCCCTACAAGTTTTAAACTTTCAAAATAGATAAATATATATAATAGTGGCAAAGTTATACTGTTTAATAGGTTTATGTGTCTTTTGGACTTGAACCTCACTTAGTGATAACAATTTTTATTTGAGAGATCCATAATGGACTAAGCCTTGAATTAGGTCCCTTCAGCCAAACTTCAATTGTTTCACACACAGTATCGATTTAGACTCAGTTTATAGCGGGTAGCTCTATTAATGGTTATGCACTCTAATCTTGATTCTATTAAGAATCTCTAGGGAATAGCCAAATCTCATAGCCACGGCCTCATAGCAACTCTTACATAGGTGAGTCCTCCAAGGGTGTGTGTGACCCACACCTCGTAAGAATTCTCGCCTTAGTATTCATTCAGGGTTAAACCCTTCCTAACATCACATTATTATTAGCACTATATCACCATAGGGATGAGTACAAATAAGATAGTGCTATACAAATCACGCAGTGCGGATTGTTTTTACGACATTGAACCTTTTTCATGGGATCTCTAATCACAAAGGTTGAGTTACTCCCGAAGGTGACTCCCTTATGGGTTTAAACTCATTCCATATATATATATATATATATATATAGATATATATATATATATATATATATCCTTGGATTTTAATATATTCATGTTCCTATCAGACAATAATTTGGTACCATAATATTTGCAAACTCTTATTTTCTGCTTGCACATTAGTACATCTGCAAAATCTTCTAAAACATTTCAAAATATTAAAGTTGCGTTAAGTATAATAAGATAAATAGTGAAACTTAAAACTGACTTCTAATCACATGTTTGAACATGTGCATCCATTCAACTTTTGTATTTGACCATCATATTCTGAAGATATCCATCGTGTGGAGCTTCTTTGAAAATGTTCCATGTCTACAAACACTTCTAAATACTTTCACAAAATATTAGTGTCACAGTATATGAGAATAACTTAGAT